TTCAGTGTCACATGATCCTTCAGAAATCATTCTAATATTTGCTGCTCAAGAAACATTTATTATTATTATTGCTCCTTCATATTTGTGTGGAAACCGTGATGCATTTTTCAGAATTAATTTTATATATAGTAACAATGTAATGTAATGTAATAATGTGGCAATGGTTTCTTAAGATCTACTTAGCTTCTGATGCTTTTGGGAAACACAACCCTATTTGAACAAGCGCTCTGAGCCATGCGTCAGCAGCGAACGCTGTCTGTGATTGATTGGTTCTGTCTTTCAGCATTTGCGTGTGTTCCGATCGATATTTTTATGTGAGGATCGATCCTTTCGATACAACATCATTATCGAAAGTATCGATACTTAAGGATCGATCCGCCCATCCATAGTGGCCACCACTGACGAAAGCTTGGCCACCCATTTGGCCACCCCACTCAAAACTGCCGTTTTTGTCCCTTTTTTTCTTGACAACAAATGCATTTATTAAGATGTGGAACCGCCGTATCTCTTTATGACCACATCAAACGGGAGAATTTTCAGACGCGCACTTCAGCTTCACCTCAGCGTCAGGCGTTAATTGTACTCAGTTGTGTTTTAGGCACTAAAACAGTACAGTACATTATAGTTAAACACATTTTTATATTGAAATAATGAAGATTTCTGTGCCACCCCAGACTGGTTGCTGGCCCCTCCTTGGCCACCCCTATGAAAACATCCTGGCTCCGCCACTTAGCATTTTGCTCTCTTTGACTCATTGGATGGGAACGGTGCTTTAATCGCAAATGTTTATGCGATATTCCAGTTTTGTGCATAAGTTTAATTCGAATCTTTGTATGGAAACATAGCTATTGTAAGATGAACCTATGTTTGTATGATATTGTAATAGAGTTTCTATGATTTTAGGAATATCACGCCCCGGGCCTGTCTAAGGACACTCTGGCCCAGTGGAGTCGAGTCGCAGACATGTTTGAGCAGGCAGGGGCGCGGGTACAAGAAGTATCTCTGCCACACACACAGCACTCCATCGTCTGTTACCACGTCCTGTGTTGCTGTGAGGTTGCATCCAACATGGCACGTTTCGATGGGCTTGAATATGGTGTGTAAAGCTTAAACATGTCTAAAACTGTCACATAACCCATGATGCACATACATGCAAACACGATGGATTTAAAATGTAGGTGTTATTTTAAAGCTACAACTACAAACTAAAATTTTAACATATTCATTTGAGTTTTGAACAGTGCTGTGTTTCTGAAAAAGTCCTTTT